GTGCTGACTGTCAGAATTCGTGTGCCATGGTTGGCGTTTCGGGTGGTCATGACTGTGACTGGGTGGTGGCCTGAGTGCCACACTGCTGCTAGCCCTCTGCTTCTCATTGTTAATTAAGCTGTGCTACTCTGTTGTAAGTTAGCAAAGTCTGTCAGTATCAAGAGAGAAAATAGGAGCTGGTACTGTGGCACAGCAGTGTCCCACATGGGCACCAGATCGAGTGCTGGCTGCTCCACTTCTGATCCAGCTCCCTGCTAATGTGTCTGGGAAAGCAACAGAAGATGGTCCAAGTGCTTGGGCCCCTGCACCCATGTGGGAGACCCCAATAGAAGCACCTGGCTCCTGGCTTCAACCTGGCCCAGCCTCAGCTGCTTGGCGATTTGAGGTGAACCAGCCAATGGAAGATCAGTCTCTCTCTCTCTCTCTCTCTCTCTCTCTCTCTCTGTGTGTGTGTGTGTGTGTGTGTGTAATTCTGCCTTTCAAATAAATAAATAAATCTTGAAAAAAGAAAATAAATGGTGAGAGCATCAGTGCATGCATTTTAAGAGTTCTGTGGCCTTTTGCTTTTCTGGGGGTTCTGCTTGTGGTAGAACTCGGTCCTAATCGTTTCTATGCTATAAAGTGAGAGGCCATAGCTGGGAATTTGATTCCTGATGTATAAATCATACTCTATTAAGAGATCTCCGAATAATTTTAAAGACCAGTTTGAATTTTCATAAGTGTTCGGTTAGTGATTCATTGTAGAAAACAGTGGTAGCTAGGAGCTTGTGTGTGGTTTTGAGTCATCTAGCAAAGGGAGAGAAAATCAAGCAACCAGTTGTGGTTTTCCCTGAGTCTGTTTTAAAGTAGCGAGCTGCTTTGTTTTCTCCATCACCATAGCAACTTCAACTAGGTTTTGCATTTGAGTTTCATTTCTCTTAGAAAAAATGTAGTGTGCCCCAATTGTTAGACTCTTGGACTCCTTAGCATGCTAAGGAATATCTATGCTAACGAAGCTAAAAGGCAGAGCATTGCTTGTGCGTGTGAGGTTTGCAGATGTCTGCATTTCCTGGATTTCCTTTTCAAACATGTGGCTACGAGCCAATGCAGAATAACTGTATACAGTCAGTTTCTCTGGGGAAGGAAAAATGGGATTTCACAGCTCCCATAGTGTAAGTACTTTGCTCTGTCCTCTGCCTGCCCTTGAGCTTCACTGAGATTGGTAAATAGCAAACATTGTAGTGGGTGGACTTTTTGAGCTCCCTCTGAACTGGAGGCACAGATTAGTCGCAGATTGGAACACAGGTCTTTTGCAACCTCACTGCTAACGTTGGTTCTCTGGTACACACCTGTGTGATCCACCCAGTCACTGGGTAGCTCTGCCCGCCGGACCTCTTGCTCTTCCTTAAAAGCATCTACCTTCATTCTCCTTGAAGCAGCAATCTGTTGTACCTGGTAACACTGTAGTCCAAGGACCAGATGACCTGTTCCAAGCACTACTAATGCTAGCAGTTAGTCAAGGCTAACAGAGTGCTCAAGTGAGAATTACTCAGATTGCAAATAGGATTCTTCTTGCTTCATGTTGGTTTTAAAACAAGTTCTTTATTTGAAAGAGTTACACAGAGAGAAGGGAGAGACAGAGATGAGAGATCTTGCACTCCAGATGGCGAGGACTGGGCCAGGCTCAAGCCAGGAATGTGGAACTCCACCCAGGTCTCTGCTGTGGGTGCAGGGGCCCAGGAGCTAGTGCCATTCTCCACTGCTTTCCCAGGAGCATTAGCAGGGAGCTGGGTAGGAAGTGGAGCAGCCGGGACTCAGCTGGCACTAGGAGAAGATGTCAGTGTTGCAGGCAGTAACTTAACCTGCTGCACCACAGCGCCGGCCCCTCTGCTTTTCTTACAGTTTGCATATATATGACCTATTTTTTGCTTTGTTGGACAGCTTTATCTTCACATTAGGCACAATTGAAATAGGGTCTCCATTCAAACATGCTACTTTCGCCGCCTTTCAGCACTGTGATATATTTGTCAGGTTGTCCTTCCTGTACTCCAGTTTTTCCCAGTCTGCTGAATTTACACACTTGGTGGAGACTGCGTTGCTTTGTGCAGTCGTATTCTTAGATCTCTGGTCCATTAGAATGTGGGGAAAGTCTCAGGAGACCAGGTATTTTTAGTGGCTATCTTTGGTTTACAGTCAGTGGAGAGGAATAACCAGCTTTTCTTTAGAGTGGGAGTCTTGTCTAACTGGAGTTGGTCTCAAATATTGCTATAGAATAGTTTATGGGTACATTTTGAGTTGTTTTTTTTTTTTTTTTTTTTTTTCAGATTGACAGTTTAAGCTACCCTATACTAGTATACTTGCCAGTTTCCAGAAATAAAATGAAAAGATGCTTCTTCTGTAGCCCAGGGGATACCACCTGCTCTGTCCCCCTCCTCGGTGTCTCCAGGGCTTCTGTTAACTCCTTCCTTGCCCCAGGCCAGCTCTGCAATTGCACACAGCTTGCGGAAAATGGCCTGTGCTGTGAGGAGAGGTGACTCCGCATGGGTGTGGCCCCCGAACAAATTTTCCTTGCAGACAGGAAGTCCATTTCTGACTCATCCCAGGATTTTTGTAATAAAACTGCCTGTTTATTTATACTTTTGTAGGAGTGGTCTGGTTTCTAATTAGCACCAGTGTCTGGAATATTGGGCTTGCCACTTGAATGCTTTTGCTGTTTGATTTATAAATGTTAACTGATTGAAGCAGTTTTTAACTTTTCCTAGTAAATGCACTGCATTATAGGTAGTTTTTTTAATATTTATTTATTTGAGAGGCAGAGTTAGAGAGAGAGGGCGAAACAGAGGTATTCCACCTGCTGGTTCATTCCCCGAGTATCCAGAGCTGAGCTGATCTGAAGCCAGAAGCTTCTTCCAACTCTCCTACGTAGGTGCAGGGGCCTGAGCACTTGGGCCTTCCTCTGCTGCTTTCCCAGCCACATTATTAGCAGAGAGCTGGATCAGAAATGAAGCAGCTGGGACTCAAACTGGCGCCCATATGGGATGCTGGTGCTGCGGACCTAGGCTTTAACCCGCTATGCCACAGCACCACTTCCCCCCTGCAACAGATAGTTTTTAAAATGAAAGGTTTTTAAGTAGTAGAACATAACTTTTTCCTGTGTTTAAGAACAAGAAGAATTAGAGTGTGACTACTTATAGTCTGTAAAAGAGCAAGCAGTTAAAAAAAAGAAGCGATGAGTATTTGGTACAGCAGTTGAGACACTGCTTGGGACACCCACATCCCATATCAGAGTGCCTGGTTTCAAGCCCCAGCTCGGCTTAGGATTCCAGCTCCCTGCTAATGCACACCCTGGGTGGCAGCAGGTGATAGCTCGAGCACTTGGACCCCTGCTACCCACATGGGAGACCCAGATTGAGTCCCAGGCTCTTGGCTTCAGCTTGACCCAGCCTTGGCTATTGTGATCTTTTGGAGAAATGAAGCAGCAGATGGAAGGTCTGTGTCTCTATCTATATATGTGCCTTTCAAATCAGTGAAAAATAATAAGTAGAAATTTAAATGTGCTTTGAAGAAGTGACCTGTATGGAAGCAGCAAAACCAATTATTAAATGGAAACTTGTTTTATCACACCTATGGATTCATCTTGGAAGTAATGAAACTAAGGTCTATTAATGCTGGTTGTACAAATCCTCTCTGTTAAGACGTGCTTTTTAAAGATGGATTGCTTTGTTATGTCCTACTTCATGCTTTAGTGACTTCCTATGGCATGGAGAATGTTGACCATGTGCAGTCCTGAGCCCGGGCACAGTAGAGCAGTGTTAATGCCCCTCCAGGCGAGCAGGTGCTACAGGCTGGGGTCACCTGGACAAGGCCCCAGCCCAAACCCCACCAATATGCCATGTAGGGAGGTTGTACGTTTCCTGTCTGAAAAGCCTTAGATTCCCAGACTGCTTCTTTAAAGAGATATCCCCAGGGCTCGCATTACTCAGCTGTGACTCCACGGTGAGTCACCCAGACCTCTAGGGGAGCTGAGTCTGTTGGGAGAGGGAAGGCAGAACGGCGGCTGAGGATCTCCCTGAGTGTCAGGGAGCCCCCGGTGGTGCACGGTCATTGACCCGCAGGCTCTCGGCTTGGGCTGAGCACAGTGGACCCTGGAGAAGGAAAGGTGTCTTAGCCCTGCAGAACTTGGAGGGGTGATTGACCCAGACCCCCAGAACCAAAGTAGTAGGCATTCCCACTGACTGTCCCCTCTCCCACACACCCCGTAACCTCTAGACACAGGGGTGTTAAGGCTCAGAGTTGCCTGTCTGCTGGGCCACTAGCCTCCTTACAGAGACTCGCTTATTCCCAGGAGGGGCGATGGCTTCCTCATCTCGGGTGAAAGAGGCTGGCATTGGGTGAGAGGGTCACAGCAAAGGATGTCAGGTTTTACCCTTTGAAGGCAAAACCCATCTAGGATTGACATTGAGTCTGTCAGACAACGCTGACTCTCTATTTGCTCTCGCGTATTACCAAAAAAGCAGAGTTTTTGATCACTGCTACCAAATTACCCAAACCAGAAAGGAAGTGGCAAATCTTTTAGAAGCTTTCACTGAGAGAATTCCTTTCTTGAAAATGACAACAGCCATAAAAGTAATAGTAATGATGTATGTCCATTTTTGAAGGTAGCTCTTGTGTGGTTTCCCACTGGGTACAATACAGGGACTGCATTGTACTCATCTTGAGATCCCCATGACCTTTAATCAGCCAACATCGGAAGGCAGACCCAGGACTGCACCACTCAGAGCTCTCAACACAGCGCGGATGCCGTAGCTGTTGGGAGTCAGGTTAGCAGCCGTTCCTTTAGACTTGTCATGATGTTCTGACACTTGAGATATTATAAGTATTCTTGGAAATAGTAAAATGTGGAAAATATGGGCATTTTCACTTTGTATGTCGTTAGTTGCTTTGAAACTTGCCGAGAGTTTGTTCTAAGTACATCCTCTTCCTCCCTCTCTCCCTGCCCCTTTTTTATAAAACGCCGCCAGGTATCCGATACAGCATGGATGTGAGTGTGGATGAAGTAAAGGCGTTGGCTTCTCTGATGACATACAAGTGTGCAGTGGTGGGTAAGTGATTATCTTTGTTGCAGCCTTATGAGAGCTCTGAGGGAGTGTGTTCGCACACAGAGTTACTGGTAAGGTGCTGTAAAGATACACCTGTCAGAACTGAGTTTAAGTTGCATTCTTTGAGGCTTACATTGTTTTTCAATTAGTCTTAATAATTAAGATTTAGGCTTCTGTTAAGTTATAGGAGATAATGGGATTTTATTAAAGTGTGCATCTGTTTCAAATCCCTTTCCAGACTCTGTTAATAAGACTTAACCATAGTAGAAGGAAATTAAATATGGGGTAAGTACAACATTCTAAAAGAAGTCAGTGTGTGTTTCGCTCTTGAATTTTCTGAAATTGAAGCTTAAAGCATCACACATTGAAGTTGAGCATCCCAAATCTGAAAATGAAAAGTACCCCAAGGTCCAAAACTTTGTGAGGGCTAATATGAAGCCCCAAGTGGAGAATTCTGTGTGTTAGCTCATGATGGGTTGCAGTCAGTCCACCAGCTCACTGAAACGCTGTTTACCTCCAGGTTATATGTATAAGGTGTATATGGAACATAAATGAATTTCCTGTTTAGACTTGGATCCCATTTCCAAGACACTCATTTTGCATAAACAAATATTCCAAAATCCAAAGAAATCTGAAATCTAAAATACTGCTAGAAATAAGCATTTTCAATCAGGGATCCTCGGCTCATATGGCACGGTGCCTTTCCTTTTCTTTTAATCTTTTGTGGAATTAACAACTTTCAGCCTTCCCTTTCAGATGTGCCGTTTGGGGGTGCAAAAGCTGGTGTTAAGATCAATCCCAAGAACTACACAGTGAGTAACGAAGTGGGGTGTGTGTGTGCGGGGCGGTAAGCAGGGGCCTGGAAGTTCCTGGGCTTCTGTATATCCCCCTTACCAGGGAGAGGGAAAACTAGTAAATAATTAACTCATTGAGTGTTTGGCTATATAAGAGGTCACCTGTTTAACATTAATGCCCTTTTTCATTTTCTTACTTGAATAAAGGATAATTAATGCTTTCATATTGCTGGGCACTTCTGTCCATGCTTAAAAATTACTGTGGGGCCAGCGCTGTGGCATAGAAGGCTAAGCCTCCAGCTTGAGTTCCAGCATCCCATTTGGGTGCTGGTTGGATTCCTGGCTGCTGCACTTCTGATCCAGCTCCTCCCTGATAATGTGCCTGGGAAAGCAGTGGAAGATGGTCCAAGTGCTTGGGCCCATGACACCCACATTGAATAGATCTGGCTCATGGCTCTGGCCTGGCCCAGCCCTGACAGTGTGGCCATTTAGGGAGTGAACCAGTCATGGAAGATCTCTCCTTTTCTCTCTGTATCTCTGCCTTTCAAATAAATAAATCTTTTTAAAAAATTACCATGTGGGTTAAATTGCTGCTTGGATGCCAGTTTGAACTCTAGGTTCCTGCTACCCATATGGCAGACCCGAATTGAGTTCTTGGCTCCTGGCTTCAGCCTGGCTCAGCCCTAACTGTTACAGACATTTGGGGAGTAAACCAATTGATATAAGATCTCTCTCTCTCCCTGTCTCTTTGCCTTTCAAATAAAGTGAAAATAAATAGAAAAATTTTTAAAGACATTGTGCCTTATTTTCAAAATATTTTAAATATTACTATTATATACTACAATCTAAAGTTTTTAGGTATGATCTAGTGACGAGTATCTTAACTAATCCGGGGAAATTTGTATTGTTCATTCTGTTTCAAGTTAGTTAAAACCAGTTGTTCCAACGCTCTAAAGAGCACTAAATCTGTACAGACATGATAAATAGGTATGACTTTATTCTCCTTCAGACTCGCTATATAAATGGAGACATACTGCATGGATGGCTCCTAGGGTCCATAGCAATACAATTATAGCGTTTTTCAATAAGTCTTAATTAAGATTTGGTCTTTAACTGGGGAATTAATACAAAGGGGAACTGGGATTTGAGCTCTTATTCTACTATCATGTTTCATAACCTAAGTTATTTATTTCTCTTTACTTTCTTATTATTTGAGAGAATAAGAAAGAGAGCTCCCAAGTGCTGGCATACTCCCCAAGTCTGCAATGACCAGGGCTAGAGCTGGGAGCTGAGAACTTACTCCAGGTTTCCACATGCATAAGCAGGAACTCAGTCACTTGAGGCATTGCTGCTGCCTCCCAGGGATTCCCAAGTGGGATGAAGGCATCTTAACCACTAACCCAAACACCCGCTTCTTAGCAAGCTAATTTCTGATCCCTTGTTTTCTTAACTTTAGGATGGAAGTGCCTAATTTATGCCCTGAGATAGGATACATGAAAATGTCCTATAAATAGAAAATATGATGGAATTGTTCTCCGAGTGATATTTGTATCAGGTGTTTGTCATTGTTGTTTATATATTTTCTTCACAGGATAATGAGTTGGAAAAGATCACCAGGAGGTTCACCATGGAGCTGGCCAAGAAGGGCTTTATTGGTATGTGTTGCCATGTAGGGCTGAACTTTGTGCTTCATGGTACAGGAGTGCAGGGGACACCTGAAAAGTCACTGTCTTAAGTTAAACTCGCATCTTTCTACTCATTTCCTGTTGATATTCTTTTGTGAGTAATAGGATTGGCCTTCTGAGATACATAAATATTTGTCATTTACTCTAGTTTTCAAGCAAGTTAAATCTTTCTGAATGTTTCTTTTCTTGGTCTAGAAGGTTTCTAATTTGTTTCACTAACAAACTAAAACAAAATAGAACTGACTAAAATAGGAAAGGAGATGTTCTTGTTCTCTGATTTCCCACCCTGGTGTTTTTCTTCCTCCATGTCCCCTCCCCCATTGTCGGCAGGTTCCTATGAAATGCAGTTAGCCATGTTTTACCCCATTTTTAGGAAAAAAATACAGGAGATAAATGGACTAATATGGAAACAAAATAAGTAACACTACAGCTTTACTAGATTTGGCCTGTCTTTCATTACTTAAAAGGCACTGAGGGGGCCAGCATTGTGGCACAGTGGTTTAAGTCCTGCCTGCAATGCTGCCATCCCATATGAGCACCAGTTCAAGTCCCAGCTCTGCTTCTGATCCAGCTCCCTGCTAATACACCTGGGAAAGCAGGGGAAGATAACCCAATTGCTTGGGCCCCTGCACCCACATAGGAGACCCGGATGGTGTTCCAGGCTCCTGACGTTGGCTTGGCCCAGTCCTGACTGTGTGAACCAGCAGTTTGAAGATCGATTCTCTCTCTCTCTCTCTCTCTCATTTCTCTGTCTCTCTCTAACTCTGCTTTCAAATAAATCTTCTTTTAAAAAAAAAAGTCACTTGGGTTTTTGCCATATCTCTTACCCAGTTCCACTGTGCACTTTGCGTGTGCGTCATCGTGCAGGAGAAGCATGTTAACTTAAGCCTCAGTCACACCTGTCAGGATGTCAGCTAATTCCAGAAAGGGTGACTTGAAGTGCTGTTCTGCCTGTGATAGCCTTCAGGTTTTTTTTTTTTTTTACAGAGTTAGACAGAGAGAGAGAGACAGAGAGAAAAGTCTTCCTTTCCATTGGTTCACCCCCCAAATGGCCGCTACGGCAGGCACGCTGTGCCAATCCGAAGCCAGAAGCCAGGTGCCTCCTCCCGGTCTCCCATGCGGGTACGAGGCCCAAGCACTTGGGCCATCCTCCACTGCCTTCCCGGGCCACAGCAGAGAGCTGGACTGGAAGAGGGCAACCGGGACAGAATGTGGCACCCCAACTGGGACTAGAACCTGGGGTGCCAGTGCCGCAGGTGGAGGATTAGCCAAGTGAGCCGCGGCACCGGCCAGCCATCAGGTTTTAAACTATTTGCTCTTAGCCTAAATCTCAAACACAGTTAATTCTCTTAATTGGTTTTGGATTTTTTCAGTTGTGTTTGTTGCCCATATCTGGAGTGTCTCCCCATAATTTTGTCCATCTTGATAAGAATCTTAAAGTTACAAAGGTTAAAAAGTGATTTGGTACACTGAAAGAAACTAGAGCTTTAAATGCTAGTAAATGTGGCTTCTTTGCTCACATGGGGAAGCCTCATTAATCCATGGCACGAATAAGCTGGCATCTGGGCCAGAAAGCTTAAAACTTCAATATGCGCTCAGCTTTGCCTAATAATGGCTCAAAGTGACATTGTTGCATGAGTAGGAGTTTCAGGACTTGAGGAAGTTGCTTCCACAACAGGACTTCCTCCCAGTCTCTACCGTGTGAGAAGGCCTTGCCCCCCCAGGAGGCAGCGTGTTACAGCACTGGCTCACCCCATCTACTCCCTGACTCGAGTAACCCTGCTTCTGTGGGGCTAAGCGATACTGTCTGCTCCACTGCAGTCAAGAGCAGTGGCCCTGCTCCGCCTGCGGTCCCCTCTCAAGTCCTCCAGATGCATAGCAGCAGATGCCAGTGGGAGAATGTAATGTAATGTTGTTTTGTGGTTAAGCCTTTAGTTACCTAAAGGAGATCTAAAGTTTTCTAGCCACGGTGACTTTGCTGTCTCAGAGAATCTCAAGGATCTTGGTGTTTAAGATGAGTTCATCTTTAAACTGATGCACCACCTTTGCCCTGTGCCCCCAGGTCCTGGCATTGATGTGCCTGCCCCGGACATGAGCACAGGCGAGCGGGAGATGTCCTGGATTGCCGACACCTATGCCAGCACCATAGGGCACTATGTGAGTTCCCAGTGGGAGCCCGGGGTTTCTGCATTTCCTGTCTGTAACAAGTAACCATCCTGCCAGCTGTGTGAGAAGTGGCGAGGCACTCGATGTATTTTTTTCCCCCTTTAATTGTAACCTTGACACACATACTCTGTATTTCACTGTCTTAAGTTCTAGGGGTAGGGAGCACAGATTGAGCTTTTACTTTCACGATGCCCTGTGCCACGACCAGGCAGGCATACTGTTGAGGCCCCAGAGGGGGAGTGAGGAAACTTTCCATTCCGACTTCCCCACACACGTGTGTAGTGTGGGAACAGCTTCTGAAAGAAGGCTTTCGGGGGGTGATCGGGCTCCACCTGGATAAGGGTAGAATCTGAGTATCTGGAGCTGGGGAGCTGAGGAGAGGAGATCAGACGGGGTGTGTTTATGAAGGGAGCTAGGGCAGGAGTGAAGACGCACCGAGCTGTGCTGTCAGCGGAGAGCTTTGCTGCCAGCACCCAGGAGCTGTGGGTTTCCTCAAGGTGAGGAGATAAGGACAGGGATGAATCAGAGGCCTGAGTCTGGGGCCCCTGCAAGGGTTGTGCCACTGAACAGAGCCTAAGAGGAAGGATCTTCCTGTCCCTGAAAGGCCTGGGATTTTGAAAATGGAAATATTTAAGGAGTAGGCGGAGAAATGGAGTTGGAAAAGACATTCATTCATGCCTACTGCACACAAGGCCAAGTGCAAACAAGGTGTTCACTGCACTTGGCGTAAATGCTGGAAGTTGTTCCAAAGCTGTGAAAAAGCCTTTGGAGGTCAGGTGGGAAAAGGCCTCCTTGGGAATAGAGCCCTGTGGTCAGCACTCTGCAAGATGCATGGACACCACCCAGGGGAGGGGGCCAGTACGGGGGCAGGAGGTGAAGGTTCTGAAGTACGGGAGGGAGGTGAAGCTGAGAGACTCGGAGAGCTGCTGTGAGCCAGTGTCATGAACAGGAGAAAGATCAGAAAGGCCAGCACAGTTGGGTCAAGCCAGGCTACTACCTCGTAAGGGACAGAGGGGACTTTGGGCTTTGTCCTGAAAGCAGAGCATGTGTGACAGAGCTGAGTTGCACTTTAAGCCTCACTCTTGAGTTCAGGAGGTCCAGGCTGCAGGGGGCTGGGAAGAAAGAAGCGGGGCATGCACTGGAGAAAAGATGCATGCAAGGTGGCTATTGCCCACAGAACGTGTTGCATGTGGTGGTTTGGCTTGTTTATTCGCTGTGGACCAGATTTGTCAGTGCGCAAGACAGCATGCAGGAGAACGGTGGGTCATTCATGTAGCAACGTCCTCCAAAGGCGTAAAGGCCTGGGGAACTTGGCTGTGAGGGGCCCAGTGGAAAGATGGGCCTTGGAGATGACACTGAGAGCTGAGGCGTGTTTCCTGGGTTGAAGTGCTGGGGCCGGGATTCCAGGCCTGCCTCCTCACTGCTGTGGTTTCCTCATATGGGAAAGAACAATAATAAACCAACTTGGTGGACTTTATAAGGATTAGACGATCGAGCTAATGTACTTAGGACGGTACACAGCACTTAGTAAACACAGGCATACTTAAAGGCATTACATCATGTCAGTTGCACAAGTCCCCTCTGGTCATCAGTAGTGTTAGGTCAAAGAATTTTGACTGCCATTTCCAAAAGGGACACTCTTTCTTGGCATCTTTCCATGCTAAATGAGCTGGTATGATCCGTTTTCTTTGTAAGCAAGACACTAAACTGACAGGGCAAACCAATAGGTAGTATTCTGTTATTCATAGCTCATTCACAGTGGTGACAGCAAGAAAAAAAAAAAAAAAAACAGCTTGTGAGACACTGCCAGCCAAACGCTGGACCGTTGGTAAAAGATTTTCTTTAAGTGATGGGAAGTCCAAAATCAAAGCCTCAGGTAAGAAAGCCTGGTTTTTGCTGCTCCTTTGTAGACATGAGCTGGAACCCTCTGCAGCCCCACCTGCAGGTGTGGTGCTGGTGGGAGAGTCCTCCTGGCACAGACCATTAGGCATGCTGAGGAGCCGGCGGCTGGCGCCAGGCTGACCACAGACAGCGTTTCCTTCGGCTCCAGCGCTGGCATTCTCCCTGTCAGAAGCACTTGGCACTAGGTGTGCGACTGTATTCATGAGTGTCCATTATTCATGAAAGAAAACGGTGGGAAAACTACTAATCCTGGGCCTCTTGTGCTTCCTTCTTTCTGAAACTATACAAGAAATACAGTTCTCTGTAAAAAAATTCTGACAATACAGATGAAGACCAGGGCACTTTCTAACTTACTCACATGAGAGCAAATAGCCTCCACTAGTTGATTACATAGTCTGTTTTTGCAGCTGACAGAAAGCAGTTCCTCATTTTCTTTCCATTTCCTCCTAGAATCAGAGTGTCTCCGTCCTCTGTTCCACGCATCAGTACATCTGTTGCACAGAGTTCTGGTCGAACTCGATGTCTTCGAAGCGTGGCCTTCCTGAGCCCCGCTCTTTTTCTAGTTATACTTGGTTCTGAACAGGAGCACATGCACAGCCTCGATTCAAAGAGAGCAGGAGGGTGGGTGGTGAAGACGTGACCACTCCACAGAGCCACGCAGTGCTACTCAGGCACTCTGCGCACTCACAGGCACGAGCCTCTCGTACCCACACGTGCCTTTTTTGAAAGTTTCTTAAGTACTTTTGTCAATCCACTGTAGCAGGTGAATTTGAGTCTCACAGTTCCTTTGGGAAAGCCTTGTGACACAGCTTGGGGTGCCCATGCTGGATGCCAGTTGAGTCCTAGCATCTCTCCTTCCAGTCCTGCTTTCTGCTGCTACACCCTGGGAGGCAGCAGATGCGTGGGCCCCTCGCTCCTGGTTTTGGCCAGGTCTGACTTGGCTGTTGTGAGCATCTGTGGAGTGATCCAGAAGATGGACATTCCCTCTCTTCCTCTCTCTCCCTCAAGTAGATGCAAACAAGCATTGTTTAAATGGACATTTTATTGAATTCACAACATTGAATCTTCCCCTCCGAGAACACTGTAACACACACCTCTACCCGCCCTCGGGCTTGGCTTTGGCAGCGTGCGGGTCTCATGGTAGATTCTAGGATACTTATGGGTCAGTGTGGACCTTGGCTTAGTAGGGCCGAAATACTTGTTGAGTAATAACTTTAAGCCAAGCTATCTCTGTTTTTGTGATATTTTTGTTTGTACTTGATAAATTTCTAAACTCTGTGTTTTTCCCTTTGGATATATACACTAGGAACAGAAAGCTGAAAGCTAGGCTTGTCCTATGAGTAAAAGATTACTTTACAGAGACACCCACAGGGACATGTGTTAGCATCTAAAACGCCCCAGCTCCTCCCCATGTGGTTTGAGGCCCAGCTTCCTACTGTGTGCATCCTGAGAGACAAGAGTCCCTGCCACCGTGGGGAGACCTGGATGGAATCCCTGGCTCATAGGAGTGAACCAGTGGGATGGGAGCTTGCTCTCACTCTCGCACTCTGCCTCTCAAGTAAATCAATAAAAAGTCATACACACACATAGTTTTAGTTAAATGGGAATGTGTACTGACTTTAACTTATTAGATTTAAATGGGAATGTGTACTGACTTTAACTTATTAGATTGGTTAATCTTAGAAATGGGGCTTGACATTTCATCCTGTTACTTTCATTTTGTTTGAAAGAGGGAGAGACAGAGAGAATGAGATCTTCCACTTGCTGGTTTGTTCCCCAAATGCTCACAACAGCCTGAGCTGGGCCAGGCTGAAGCCAGGAACCTAGAATTCTCATCTAGGTGTCCCCCATGGGTGTCCAGGGCCCAAATACTTGAGCCATCCTCTGCTGCCTCCCAAGATGTGCATCAGCAGGGAGCTGGGTCAGAAACAGCGTATCCAGGACTTGAACCAGGGAGTGTGATACAGAATATGGGCATCTCTAGGGAGACCCAAGCCTCTGAGCCAGACGCCCTCCCCGACATTCCATTCTTTAAGTGTTGGCTCCCTTTTGCAGGACATCAATGCACATGCATGTGTTACTGGCAAGCCCATCAGTCAAGGAGGCATCCACGGACGCATCTCTGCCACGGGCCGTGGGCTTTTCCATGGAATTGAAAACTTCATCAATGAAGCATCTTACATGAGCATTTTAGGAATGACACCAGGGTTTGGAGATAAAACATTCGTTGTTCAGGTAAGAGTTTTGTTCTCTTAAAAGCTGAGATGCATTAAATAACTTTTTTCTTTTATTAAAAAATTTTTATATCGTGATTTTTAAGTATTTCTAGTTTCAACTTACAGTTTTAAAAATTTGGTTCGAGTCTATTTTCAGGGTAACACATCCTTTATTTCTGGGCTTTGATATGATTCACATGACTAGAACTGACAGAAGTGTTTCCCAGATACCTATGAAACTGTCACCAAGTTCTTTTGGCCAGTATTTTAAAATGAAGTTATATCCAGAAAGGGAGGTCTCCCAGCATAATTTTCTAATGCTATTCTGAGTATTCAGAAAGGTTTGTACATTGACCCAAATTTGTTTGTGTTAACATATATTACTTTGGGGAACCTAGATTAAGTTGAGTTTTGCTTTAAAATATTCCTCCTAAGCAGTGACATACCTTCTTAGAACTATGGGATGTCTGGTCTCTGAGGACTGACCACACCACTGCCATTTTCTCTGTAAGGCAAGAAAGGCTGTGCCTAACTAAACCTCTTTAGGGCTCATTATTATAGATATTTATATTATAGATACAAAGGGTTGAGTGGTGAAGTGGGTAAAGGCACCTCCTGCGATGCCAGCTTCCCATATGGACAACGGTTCAAGTCCTGGCTGCTCCATTTCCAATCCAGCTCCCTGCTAATGCACCTGAGAAAGCAGCAGAAGATGTCCTAAGTACTTGGGCCCCTGAACCCATGTGGGAAAACTGGAAGAAGCTCCAGGCTTTGGCCTGGCCCTGACTATTGTCACTATTTGAGGAGTGAACCAACAGATGAAAGATCTCTCTCTCTCTCTCTCTCTCTCTCTGCCTCTGCTTCTCCCTCTCTAACTCTGACTTTCAAATAAATAAATAAAACTTTAAAAAAAAAATAATTACTGTTCATGAGAAACCATTTAGTATGTTCATTTCTTTTAGCAGAAGGATTTTGAGAATTGCTTCTAAACTAACAGAATGCAGGTTTAAATTTTGCAAAATATGGTTTTATCTAGACTAGAAGTTTCGTTTGTGTCATGCAAAATTGTTCTTCACAGGGATTTGGTAACGTGGGCCTGCACTCTATGAGATATTTACATCGTTTTGGTGCTAAATGTGTTGGTGTTGGTGAATCTGATGGGAGTATATGGAATCCAGATGGTATTGACCCAAAGGAACTGGAAGACTTCAAACTGGTACGATAATTTAATGCCTGAACAGTTTGACCACACTGAACCTTGTAGAGCTTATTTTTTTAATATGACTCAAAGAGCTCTTAATAAACTCATTTTCATATTGTGGCCGCTAGATGTGAACATTTGAACTCTGGTACAGCCAATAATTCTGATTTTCAACCACTGACAGCAACATGGATCGATTCTGGGCTTCCCCAAGGCAAAGGTGTATGAAGGAAGCATCTTGGAGGCCGATTGTGACATACTGATCCCTGCTGCCAGCGAGAAGCAGTTGACCAAGTCCAACGCACCCAGGGTCAAAGCCAAGGTAAGAGCACTGTAGAACCAAGATTGTCAGCACAGAATGAAGTCAGAGAGGCTACGGAAGAGTCTGAGTGTGTTTCCTCTTTTTTTTTTTTCTTTTTAGCCATTTTATTGGCATATAATTCACATCCTATACATTTCACCCACTTAGAGTAGACAGTTTAATGACTTTCGGTGCATTCAGAGTTGTGCAAGCTTCCAAACAGTAGTTAGGAAAACTAGGAAGTAGGTGAAGGGTAGCTTTATTTGTGTTATTAAAGCAAAGGAACCTGCTAGTTTAATTTTAACTGGAATTCTGCAGCTCACAGCTGCCGTCTCTATGTGCATGTCCCCTGCCATATTGGTTGGAAGCTCACAGTGCAGATGGCATTTCTGCATGTTCTTCATTCTTCCAGATCATTGCTGAAGGTGCCAACGGACCAACAACGCCCGAAGCTGATAAGATTTTCCTGGAGAGGAACATCATGGTTATTCCAGTAAGTCAGCCATGTTTATCAGTCTTTATATGTACTCGGCTTCATAATTGTCTTTTGCCAGGAATTAGTGAAGGGGGGATTATGTTTCCCAAGCTAGTAAATCCTTCATCTTTCTCTGGTTTTTTAAGAAAAACTGGGTGGGAACACGATTAGTACAAGATACCTGTCACTGTTCACCAGGACCTGAACACTCCTTCTGAGTCCACACTCCTTCTCGACTGTGTGTCCAGCTGCTAAGAGGGCAGTTACACATAAACTCCAAGGCTCCCACAGGATTCCTGGCTGTATGCACTTTTCCATATCCTTTCCCACTTTATCCAGAAAGCTGCTGTGAGCAGCACGTGCTTCGGCCTGTCAGTGGATAAGCGTGGGGCTCGTGCCAAAGGTTCCTGCTCCTCCGTGTGTGCTTGGGACGCCTTTTGCTGCAAGCGCTTAGCAGAACAGGCTACCCTTTGTGTGTCGAGGTGGGGCTGGTGTTGCAGAGGCGTCACTCCCTGTGCACAGCCTGTCCAGTGGCTGCTGGGCCAGCAGTTTGATCTGAGAACCTGTGGTGGAGAAGAGGCTGTAACCAAAGTTGATTGCATACTCGTTAGTAACCAGCTTCATTATTTTTGGGTAAATGGAGAAAAGCCTGAGGTGGGTCAGGAAGTCAGGGACTGTTGTTACCTTGTGGAAGTTCCAGTAGTCTGCTTGGTGCTGAACTGGACTTCTCACATTCATTCCAGGCTCTCACTGTGACTGTCTGCTTTAATTATTTGTCTTCCTTTCCCGTTCTTGTGTCTAGGATCTCTACTTAAATGCTGGAGGAGTGACAGTGTCTTACTTTGAGTGGCTGAAGAACCTGAATCATGTCAGCTATGGCCGTCTGACCTTCAAATATGAAAGAGACTCCAACTACCACTTGCTCAGTGAGTTCTAATAGTGACCCCCACGGATAATCTGAGGCAGCGGAAGCTGCGGCAAGCCTGCACCTCAGAGGACTCTTCCCTTTGATAATCTCATCTGAGAACAGATGAGAACGCCGTTATTCTACTGCATGAGGCTTTGACCAAAAGTGCACGATTTTTTCATGGATATTCCATGCATTAGCTCTCTCAAGCTGTTATCTATCTGTGAGCATGTTTCCTTCTGTGGGGTAGTGTTTCCAGAACACCACCTGCACATTAATAGTGCTATAGTCAGTGTTCGGAAACCTCACCATTCGTTTCTCTCTCTGGGTGCTCTTAGCAAAGCTCTATCTAGTGTCAAGAGTGTTCGAGTCTTCTAATGAGAGTGCTTGTTTCTCTTTGGAGTCAGCTCCACAGTTAGGAGTGTAATTTCTCATCAAGCTGAAATAAGACCAAGACCTCCAACTGCGCTTCTGTACTCGGCTCTCAGAATCAGCCCACTCGGAGAATCTGGTGCAGTGTTCCAGCCACTGCCTTTTCTTCTCCCTCAGCCTTTTCTTCTCAACAGAGCCAAGGAAAAACCCTGGTACTGGGTGTTATGGAAACAGCAGTGACCTAAATTCACATTTATATAGGGGGTTGCAAAAGGTTCACTGATTAACCCTTTTAGCCCCATCCAGTGTTAAATTTCTAAACCTCTGTGTGAGCTTTTGGGTTATGAATATAGTTTGGAGCTTGGCATTTTTTTTTTCTGCTAGGAATATCTTATCTTAATCTCTTGATTTTTTTTTTTTTTATAGTGTCTGTTCAAGAGAGTTTAGAAAGAAAATTTGGGAAGCACGGTGGAACTATTCCTATTGTTCCCACAGCAGAGTTCCAGGACAGGATATCGGTGAGTATGGTGACACTTGAATGAATGGTACTGTACACACATTGCCCGCCCAGCCTGGGCAGGTGGAGCCAGGTTCCAGCTTCAAGTTGATTGGAGTCAGTGTGATAGTAATTGAATGACTTCTCCTTTCTCTTTATATTCTCAAAATGCAGTAAGAATCCTAGTGAGTGGGGCCAGCATTGTGGTGTAGCAGATTAAGCCGCCTCGACTCTCTGCTAATGCATTCTGGGAAGGTAGCAGGTGATGACTTAATTGTGTGGGCCCTTGTCACCCCTGTGGGAGACCCAGGTGGATTTCCAAGCTCCTGTCCCAGCCCTGACTGTTGTAGCCATTTAGGGAGTAAACCAGTGGATGGAAGATCTCTCTCTCACTCTGCCTTTCAAATACAGTAAATCTTTAAAAAAATGAAAAAGAATTGTAGTGACTCTGTTATTAGTAACTTTGCAAAACAGATGACATAACAGTGATTCTAACCTAATTATGAGGGATTATGTATTCCAGCTCTTTCCAGTTTCAGAGGTCAAAAAGCATTGAAATGTAAACATAAGACTGAACTAAATGAAAATTTGAAATTCTATCTAGCCAAAAGTATCTTAAAACAGGTTGGTAATGTATTGATCACAAAGCAAACTTTGACCAGTAAAATGGCAACAGGCGTGAATAGCTAAGTTGTGGTACCCGGGAAGAAGTATTTGTCCTCAGTGTTTTAATTCAAATAAAGATTTCTTAAGTGGATTAAATTAACAAACAGTGGCTCCTACACTCACTGTGTCCATGGGGAAACAGTTGTGTGGTTCTTGTGACAGCAATGCAGGCTAGTGCAGCTCAGTGGGAAGTGGGAAGATTTATGTAAGTGGCCCTGCCCTTTGGCACTGCCGTAATCTCCCCTCTGGGGATTTATCTTGAGAAAATAATTGAAAAGCAGAGGAAGGCCTTCCTGCATGCTGATGTCATTGGGATTGTTTGCAGTCAGCTTTTCAGTTAGGGGAAGTGGTTACGTTAGAAATACAGGTGTCCTCTTAGGGAACAAATACAAGAGGTCTTCAGAAAGCTCATGGAAAATGGTGATTTATTTTAAAAATTATTTATTTGAAAGACAGAGTTATACAAAGAGAGAAGGAGAGGCAGAGAGAGAGAAAGAGAGAGGTCTTTCATCTTCTGGTTTACTCCCCAGTTGGCCGCGATAGCCAAAGCTGTACTGATCCGGAGCCAGGAGCTTCTTCCAGTCTCCATGCGGGTGTAGGGGCCAAGGACTTGGACCATCTTCTGCTTTCCCAGTTGTAACAGAGAGCTGAATCGAAAGTGAAGCAGTTGGGACTAGAACTGGCACCCATGCGGGATGCAGGTGCTACGGTCAGCAGCTTTACCCTCTACGCCACAGTGCCAGCCCCTTTATGGTTTGTGAACTCTCCTTGTATTATCACGAGAATCTTGTAGATAAGACTATAACATGGGGAAAAGTTGAGTTTTGTTTTGGAAGAGCTGCGATAACCACACACAGTTCCCCCAGTTGGTTAACCAGCCTTTCTCCCAGAGCCACATCTCTTAGGCCTGGGCTCTCCGTGGAGTGCACTGCCCCCCCTGCTTTTCACTCCAGGAGTCCCCTCTGCAGGCCGGAGCTCCAGAGCACTGGACAGGCTCACTGCTGCTCCTGCTGTGGGCCAGGCTGGGCTGCTGGCTCCTCCTTTTGGTCCCCTCCACCCAGCATTTGCCTGGCACACGGCAGTCACTCTGGTTGCAGCCCGAGCGGAGCACAGGAAGGGGACAGCCAGCTGCTTAGGAAGACAGAGCTATGAGTGACTTTGCCCTTTTTAAAAGAATCTGTGCTCAGTGTATTGGTCTCCCAGTTTCTAAATGATTGCATTGCTCCTAATTTTAGACTTTGAGGTCTTGCATGTTACCAGTTAAAGAAAACTAGTTTTTCCCAGCTCTTTCCCTCTAGCTCCTCCCTGCCCTGCATTGGCCCTACCAGTGCCCACATCGTTGACCCCACCATTGTCTCACTGCCCCTCATCCCCACCTACATCTCCCTTCTCTGCTCATCTAACTTAGAGTCCGTGCTCCATCACTCCCTGGCCTCGTTTGTTCATCACATCCCCACGGGCATGCTGGAAGCCAGCGCTGATGACATGCAGCGCCCTGCCCCTTCCATGCCTGTGCCCATGCAGCTGGGGGCCGTGCTGCCAGTTCTGTGCTGACCACTGCCCCAAGTGGGCTGTGAGCTGCCAGCAGCCGTGCTTCTCCCCTCTCCCCAGGGACAGCTGCCCCATGCTGCACAGTCCGACCTAGTGCGTGTCCGCAGGGGACGCTGGCAGCAGTAGGAAGATTTGCGCAGCACTTGGGCTTCCACCACAGCCCCGTGCTTGCTCTGGCCTCAGGCGAGCAGGAAGCTGGATCAGAAGCACAGAGTGGCAGGGACCCACACCAAGCCTCCAATATGTACCCGTAACCTGTTGCAAAACACCTGCCCCAGTTCTTCAGCCTGCTCCTCTAGAACTGTTTGTGTCAAGATAACCAGTGACATCAGCATTGCCAAATCCAGTGGTCAGTTTTCAGTCCCCACCTCACTTGGCCACAAGTGACCCAGAAGGAGCATCTTCTCTTCACTCCCAGGACACCGGACTCCTGGCTCTCTTCCTTGCTCACTGCCATTCCTTCTTACCCCCTGTGCTGCTGCCCCTTCATCATCCCCCCTCAGGATGCTGGGAGGCCTCAGTCCCGAGCCACTCTCCATCTGCACCCCACACTGTGCCCCGTGACTTCAAGTCCTGCACATGCAGTCTGCTCCCAACAGCGTGGAAACTCAGGAGAACAGGGGAAATACACTTTCTTCAATGGATACATTATGAATTAAATGATGTTCATCTCAGATAACTTTTTTTTTTTTATTTATTTGAGAGAGAAAAATAGGCAGGCAGAGATTGCTCGTCTTCTGGTTCATTTCCCAAATGCGTACAATAGCTGAGACTGGGCCAGTCCAAAGCCAGAAGCCAAGACCTCAATCCAGGTCACGTACATGGGCAGGGAACCAAGTACTTGAGCCATCTTCTGCTGCCTCCTAGGGTTCACATTAATAGGAAGCTGGAATCAGGTGCCAAGCCAGGATTTGAACCCAGGAATTCCCAGTATGGGATGCCTGTGTCCAGGCAGTGTTTTAACCACTAAATGCTTACCCTGATAACTCCTGTTGGTGACTCTCTTCAGGTTTTGTTTGTAGCTGTATTATGTTGCGTTAAGAGAAGTAGTGATAGTTAATTGTCCTAATTTTTTTAGAAAACATTCCAAGTAACAAATTTAGGAATTTACTGAAACAAATGAACTGGTAGAGAGAATTGGCATCATAAGAAAGAGGTAGGTCGGCTCCATGGCGGGAGCCCCTGCGCTGCAGCTCTGCTCTGACTTGGCCAGCTTCTGTCCTTGGTTCCTCATCAAGGGATTAAAGAGCTGCTGCGATCCATCCAGCTTTCAGAGGTGGTGGTGACCACTGAATGCACAGGCAGGATTCCTCCCCCGAGCCGTCCGCTCACCTGGAGGACGAGGTGCACGCTCCTCCACAGGACTTGTGTAGCCTGCTGCGCTGGCGCCTCGGAGAGAAGCGGCTGACCCCACAGCTTGGGAGCCATGCTCTTCTCTGCTCATTGCTTTACCATGAGTGTTTGCTGGCAGATGTAATTAAAACTGAGTAGAAGTTAAAATGCACTTCCCGATTCTATATAGAAGCTACATATATCTTTAGTGAAAGACAAAACAGCTCTGCCTGGCTGTGCTGAATCTAAGAATCCTGTTTGTTTTTTCCTTGACAGGGTGCATCTGAGAAAGACATCGTGCACTCTGGCTTAGCCTACACGATGGAGCGTTCTGCCAGGGTATGTGTGCGTGTGCTGTCTGCCTTTCCACAAGCCCTGTGTGCCTGTCAGCTCCCGGGTCCTGTGTGGTGGAGAAACTAGCAGTCTTCAGCGTTCCAGGTTTCATTTGTATGCAGCAAAGTGCAGGCTATTGAGTCACAGCTGATGAGCAGTTTGCCGTCTCTGGTAGGATTCCTAGGCTTGGAAACGGGTAGCACTGCGAGGTGCAGGGAGAGGGGTGTGTGGCAGGTGGCTGAGTGTTGAGGGGCTGGCCAGGCTGGAGTGCAGCTCAGCGCACCCTGGCAGTAGCTGTAGGAAGCTACCTCACTGGAGAATGTGATGCAGGGAGAAGGTTTTCGGACCACTTGAGCCCTGTGTCGAGGCCAGTTTCCCATATTCCTGCTTCAGATCAGTGTATTCCAGATAACAGGATGTGTGTTAGGAAGACTGCTCATGCTCACGTCTAAAGTTACAACGGACGGCTTCTTGGCTCCTGCCTAGACAGTTCCCACTCTGCTCATTCAGAGAATGAGGCCTTCCTGCCTAGCGGTCGTCCTCCTGCCAAAAGTCGTTTGTCTTTGGCTGCCGGAGACCTGCGCTGACAGTACCAGGGTCCCTGTGTGCTCCCTGTGTTCGGGTTGTCTTCACTGCACATTCCTCTTCATTTCAGCAAATCATGCGCACAGCTATGAAGTATAACTTGGGCTTGGACCTCAGAACAGCTGCCTACGTGAACGCCATCGAGAAAGTCTTCAAAGTGTACAACGAGGCCGGCGTGACCTTCACATAGACGGGGCACGGCCAGCTTCCCCACCACCCTCTTCACCTGTAACTTCACAGCCCTATCACAAGTTTACATGTAACACGGAAATCCTGTTCTCTCATGACCCATTAGGTAATGGACACCATTCTCCAGTCAATCCAAATCAGCCCCTTTAAGAAGAAGGAAAGTGAGGTTAGGGGATCGTGTACAAGCTGACAAGTGGGGAAGCAGAAATCACCTGTGCCAGACAGTGGCTTAGGTATTTCTGTGTTCCGTGGGCCGCCTTACTCTGGTGGCTGTCGCCAGGGAAGGTGACATACTCAAGAGCGATCCATTGTTGCTTCTTTTGCGCTGGGCAGATCTGGATGGGCTGTCACTTGGACACATTAGAAATAGGTATGTGGCATTCTCAGAAGGTGTCATGGTCCTGGATGAGTTATTGGTATTTTACGTCAGAATAACTCAATTTTACAAGTTGCAAACAAAAATAAAAGCTGTTTCTCTTTATGCATTTTATTCTTTTAGAATAAAATAAGTACATGCTGCTGTAATAAAATTGCCTTTAATCACTTAACAAGCCTAACTTCAACTCAAGCAGTGTATACCTATAAACATGACAAATGACAAAGCTAGTATTTTTATAACATAAGACAGTATCATTTATAGCGTATCAGTCCCGTTGTTGTCCAGCCAAGCAGAAGGCCCAGTGGGGAACGCTCCTCACCCCTGCACAGGTTGGAGGCCATTTTTGTTAAAACTGTTGGGATTTACTCCCTGTAATTATGACACAGAGTCCAAAGAATGCAGTAACGGCCCCATCCTGCGAATTGTTTCTCCCTTTGAAGCTTGATGGTGTTGACCATTGGACAATAATTCGAGTAGAGTGTCCCAGAAAAACCACTTAGGCCCCTTGTTTGGAGTCTGGCTGGCCCCGTACAGCACCAGGGGCCTGCTCAGCCTGCCTCCGCCCGCCCTGTGCACCCAGCTTCCCTGGCGGTGGGCTGCACACAGCCAGGGCCTTCTGAACAGTAGTGTCCCAATGAAGTGCTAGATACTATTTATGTAAGAATGAGCGCTTTTTTTTTTTTTTTTAAACAATATAATACCCTTTCAGAAATTTCTAACTACTTTGTAACTGCATGAGTTAACCTGTGATAAAAAGCAGTTATTAAAAGTCTACCTTTTCCAAAGTTTGTTTCTTTTCTGTGTTTTGTATTCGTTAGTGTTTTCTCTAGTAGATGGTAAGACTGCAATTGTTTCTGGAGTCCTGACAGCCGCCTCCATAACTCTTCCTTGCGCTCTGTTCTGAGCTGGCCAGACAGAGGCTGTCCTTGAAGCAGGAGGCTCTGCTGCTGCTATAGCTGACAGGTTAGAGTTGTGCACAGTGCCCATTCGCTTGGATCCGTTCAGCCAGAGCATCCACTATTGAAGACAGTACTGACCGTGGGCAGCAGAACTGGGCTGCACCACCTGCCCAGCTGCCCCATTCGGAGCATCGCTTTCCACTTGGTCTGTGTCGCCTCCCTGCTTCGAGCTTCCCTTTAGTCTCACAGAAAGCCAAGCGGCACGTGCGCCTGCTGAGCCCTTCCCGCAGTGCTGAACGGGAGCTCCAGAGCTGAGTTCTCAAGCACAGAGCGCCCCCGCTGCAGGAACTCCCTGGCATCTGAAGTTGCATGCTTCCCCTGAACATCTACCTTTTAATTGTAATGCAGTGTTAGTGTGGTGGGTTTGTACCTATTAACTAAGGTAGTTTGCTGACGTCTATGGAAACACAATCACTATAAAGCTATAAACAAATAGAAGTTCCTATTTCCCAGATAAACAAAGGGAGAGAACTCACTGGGAGCTGAGCTGACCTGTCCTACAGGAAATTCTCAAGTTCTTCGGTTTGAAAAGAAAAGACACTAACTCAAATCCACGTAAGAACAAGCCCCAGGTACAGGTAACTGTACAGATGAATGTGAAAGGTCATTTGTATGACCATAAAAGCAGAAAGGAGGGATTAGGGGATAGCTACTTAGGAGTACACTTTGAATACTATTGAAAATAGGTATTTACAGGAACTAGATTATTATACAGTAATGCGTTATAATCTCCAGGGCAAGAAGTAAGTATTATCTACTAGAGAGGCTGATTCATCCCCCAGATGGCCACAATGGCCAGAGCTGTGCTGAGCCAGGAGCTTCTTCCCACTCTCCTATGCGGGTGCAGGGGCCCAAAGGACTTGGCCGTCTTCACTGCCTTCCCAGGCAACAGCAGGGAGCTGGATCAGAAGTGGAGCAACTGGGACTTGAACCAGCGCCCATACGGGATGCCGGCAATGCAAGCCAGGGCTTTAACCTACTGCGCCACAGCACTGGCCCTGTGTGAGAGATTTCTTGGTATAGGCATGTCAGTCTGTAGAAAGCCAAAGACACACTCCTGGAAAGCAGAAGAGATGAGTGATCCATAATGTACAGGGGATCCTCAGTAAGGTTAACTTTCTCATCAGAAACTGGGGGAAGGGACAAGCATTCAACCGAGCAGTGAAGATGCCAGCATCCCATATTGGTGTGCCCAAGTGCAATACCCAGCTCCAAGCCAGACTCCAGCTTCCTGCAAATGCAGACCAACTCCGGGAGGCAGCAGTGATGGCTTGAGTCACTGGGCTCCTGCCATCATGTGGGAAATGAGAATTGAATTCCTGGCTCGCAGAGTTTGGTCCTGGCCAGGAGGCTGTTGTGGACATTCGAGCAGTCAGCCAACAAGGGAAACACTCATCTCTCTCCCTCCAGCCCCTTCCTAAGTAGATTTCTTACAAATTGTTTTAAACTATGGAGACCAGAAAGCAGTGGAGTGAGATATTTGAAGTACTAAAAGAAATCAACGAAGAATTTATCTGACAAAATTATCATCCAAAAAAGGAAGGAAATGTTCCCAGAAATTGAGAAGGCAAGCCAAAGGAGTTTATCATCAGCATGCTTGGCCAGCAGGTAGTGACAGCCATATGAAGAGGTGAGCAAAGCACTGGTGAAGGTAACAGCCAACATTATTGTGTTTTATTTATTTGAAAGAGAGGCAGAGAGGTGTTCCATCCATTGGCTCACTCCCTGGATGGCCACAGTGGCTGGAGCTGGGCCGATCCAAAGCCAGGAGCTTCTTCCAGGTCTCCTGCACAGGTGCAGGGACCTATGCGCTTGGGCCATCTGCTTTCCCAAGCCACAGCAGAGAGTCGAAAGTGGAGCAGTCAGGACTCGAACCAGTGCCCCATGGGATACCGGCACTGCAGGCAACAGCTTTACCCACTACCCCACAGCGCCGGCCCCAGGAACTCCCTAGATGTATGTTAATAAATCATGACAGTAACAACATGGGAAGGGGCAGAGATGGGAAAAAACAGTTAATGGTGTGCAACCAAAGCCAATTGGTAGCAGTTCAAACCAGATTGTGATAAGTCAACATGTTAAATAGTCTTCATGAGAAAAGGAATTGAGAGGTCCAAAACGACTCCCTAGAAATAAGTAAATAACTCAAGTGGCTGGATCCCTGCCATCCACACTGGAGACCCAGCTGAGTTCTAGGCTCCTGGTATCAGCCTAGTGCAGTCCCTGCTGTGGGAGAAAATATATATGACATGTAAAATCAGGCAACATAATAGTATAAATGCTTTCGGCAATCACATTAAGTACAGTAAACTCACCAATTACGAGCCATTGACAGTGGGTGGATTTAGAAATCCTACTGTACCACTTAGGAAAGGCTTCCTTGGTTGGAAGTGAAAAGATGGAAAGAAGGGACTGTATTCCCCAGCTCTTCATTGTGGCAACAGAACACATACCGCAAACTGCGTAGGAGGGAGAGAGGTTTGCTTTGGCTCGCGGTTCTGGAAGGTCACGGCTGAAGATTGTACAGCCCCATGGGTTTGGCATCTGATGAGGGCCATGGCGGTGCCTGCCAGGAAGCAAAGAGCAAGGCTGGGCCTGACTCAGGCCTTCATAAACAACCCTGCCGTGAGAGCTGCCTGCCAAGGCCACACCCCGGAGGATCTCCCAGCAAGCCAACCTTCCAAACACCTGCAATCAGATCAAGTTTCTACCCTCTTAGTGCCTTAACCTCGCAGTTAGGGGTTAAATGTGTGAGTTCAGGAGTCACAGCCCTTCCAAGCCATAGCAGAGATTCCATGAAGAGCAGTGACCAGAGGAGAACGGGGGTGGTTACAGTAATAGCAGGTAGAAAGACCTTAAGCCAAAAATAGGCCGGCGCCGCAGCTCACTAGGCTAATCCTCCGTTTGTGGCACTGGCACCCCAGGTTCTAGTCCTGGTTGGGGCACTGGGTACTAGTCCTCTTCCAGGCCAGCTCTCTGCTGTGGCCCGGGAGGGCAGTGGAGGATGGTCCAAGTGCCTGGGTCCCTGCACCCACATGGGAGACCGGGAGGAAGTACCCGGCTCCTGGCTTCGGATCGGCACAGCACGCCGGCCCTAACATCCATTAGGGGAATGAAGCAATGGAAGCAAGACCTTTCTCTCTGTTTCTCACTGTCTATAACTCTCTCTGTCTCTCTCTCTCAAGGTCTAACTCTGCCTGGCAAAAAATAATAATAATAATAATAAAGTTACAGGGCCCAAAGAAGGACATTTAATGAGTCAAAGCATCAAGCAGATATTACAATTATAAACGCATGCAGCAAGAAAGAGAGCCCCCAAATATAACAAAACTAAAGAAACAGAAGGAGGTTCTACAATGATGGCCTTCATTACCCCACTCAATGAATGGAACATCTAAGCTAAATCAACAGGGAGACAGAGGAACTGCACAGCCTAATGGACAGAACGCTCCACCCAGTAACAATTGAAAATACTCGCTTGAGTTCGCATGGAACACTCGGCCTTGCACACCGTATGTTAGGCTATGAGACAATTCTCAGTAAGTCATACAAACTATTGTTTCCGACTGGAATGAAGGTGGAACAAATACACAGAAACAGCACTATTAATGGTTCGAAGAAATGACTAGCAAAAATTAAAATGCTTTGAGATGGGTTAAAATGCAGAGGCAATACACCAAGGCTAGTGGGATGAAGGGAAGGCAGTACTTGGGAAGATTATAGCTGTAAATGCCTGCGTTATAAAAGGATTGCAGTACGGGTGAGTGGTGCAGCGGGCTAAGTCACCGCTTAGGACACCCACTTCCCTTATTCAAGGGCATGGTTCAAGTCCTAGCTTCTCCACTTTTTTTTTTTTTTAAGATTTTATTTATTTATTTATTTGAGAGGTAAAGTTACAGAGAGAGGAGAGACAAAGATCTTCCATCTGCTGGGTCACTCCCCAAAGGGCTGCAGCAGCCAGAGCTGAGCTTAGCTGATCCAAACCCAGGAGCCAGGAGCCCCCTCCCATTCTCTCTCAACAGGCCATCTTCCACTGCTTTCCCAGGCCATAGTAGAGAGCTGGATCAGAAGAGGAGCAGCCAGGACTAGAACCGGCACCACGGGTGGAGGACTAACCTGCAGCACAGCGCCGCCCTGTAGCTTCTCTACTTTCAGTCAAACTTTCTGTTCACGTAGCCCCTAGGAGGCAGCAAATGGGTGCCTGCCCCCCCACATGAGAGACCAGGACTGATTGCTGGGCTTCTGGGAGTGAACCAGCAGGTGGAAGATCTCTCTCTCTGTCTTTCTGCCTTCCAAACAAAATGAAAATAAGTAAAATTTTCAAAAGAGAAATGGGGTGGGTGTTTGGAGCACTGTTTAAGACGCCACTTGGTACACTCCAATACCCTATGATCACGCCTGGGTTCAAGTCCCAGCTCCACTTCTGATTCCCTCTTCCTGCTCACACACCCCCTGGGAGGCAATAAATGATAACTCTCGTGGTTGGGTCCCTGCCATCCACCTGGGAGACCCATGCTGAGTTCCAGGCTCTTGGTTCCGGCCTGGCCCAGTCTTGGCTGTTGGAAGTGTTGGGGAGTGAACCGGCAGATGGAAGATCTTTGTCTCTAACTCTGCCTGTCAAATAAAATCAACAACCTAACTACCCCCTAAGGAGTAAAAGAAGAACAAACTAAACTTAGGAAGGAAGTGTTAGAGGTTAGAGCAGAGGAAGATGAAATAGAAAAAATGGGAGTCAACAAAACCAGAAGTTGGTTCATTGAGAAGCTTTCCCAAAACTTGATGAACTTTAGTAGACTGACTCAGGGAAAAAAAAAATCCCTAAAACC